TCTTTACATGGACTTTAAGCTCATCTGTGCGAGGGTGCTCACTGCTGTAGTGGCAGTGGAATTTCTTAGGTAAGTTGTCAGGGGAAAGAGGTGGGGGTTGGGGAGGGTGCAGAGGACAAGAGATTACATGACAATTAGGTTTAGTTTCTTGTATAGATGAATACAGTTGGCTCACTTGTTTCTTCCGCATCTCATGATGAGTTATGTGCATACTAAAGTTCTTGACAAGGTAGAATTGGAAGATGGGGTGGAAACTTCCTGGGCTGGGATCAGCTTGGCCTGTATCTAGGCAGCTTTAATACAAGTTTGAGAATCTTTATAAAAGCCAGCCTGTATATCCTTGTTGCCCTGTCTTTTGCGTAACCCAGGTAGATATTTGATGTTGTGTAGTGCGAGTGAACTTAAGCATAGCATAGGATGATTGAGTATCAGCTAATGTCCTTAACAGTTTGATTGTTATCCCCCCTTCAATATCTCCAAGAATGTTCTTCAGTGTCATTCCTTGCCTAAGAGATCCTGCGTCTTTTTTTGATTGGATCCCTATCTCAAAGACAATGCCTATTACCTTCACAGATAAATCTGACGCCAGCTGACAAACTCCTGGAATGTCTCTTGCTAGTAGTGAACCTACTTAGCTTATATTAGTGTTGAGGGCTTTTTTGGATGTTTCTAACTGAATTGGGGTGTGGGAGGTGTTGTCTGGCCAAAGTTGGGGAGAAGAAATGGTGTAATGTAACTAATTGTTCTTTGCAGCTTTGCCCTAATTAAGATTCTACTTTAACCTTAAAGTGAGAAAGAACTTTTGAAGTACTTGACAACTTGTTTATATTGTTCCTCGATTTGACTGTGTGTGTAAATTTGTTGTCTTTGGAGTTTCAACATTTTTTGGATAGCTTTTTAACTTTATTATACAATTGCAAATTGCTAAAAAGGAATCATGGGAACTAACACCCCATGCTTTGGAGCATGGTTTGCCTGGCCTCTTGAAACACTATTTCAGATCGTCTGAGGACCAGTATCATGGTTTACAGAGCATTCTATAGAAGGCCTTTGCTGGTGAAGTTGAGAAAAAGGAGAGAGAGGGGGGCGCCCCAGGGGGGGGGGGGATGCCACTGTGTGGAGATTGGAGGATGGTAACTTTTTATTTACAAAATGAAAAATAGATAGCATATGTTTCGTTCTGATAGAGAGGTTTTAGCTTCAACATAAATGAGTGTGTCTGTGTTATTGTCTTCATCAGGAGAATGGCAGCATGACAAGATCACTAGCTTTGTCCGTGAATATTCTTTTTCTATTTTTCCTGCTCTTAATTATCGCCTCTGGGGGGGTTGGGTTCTGGCGGGCTTAGCAGCAGGCTCCCCCGTTGTGGAGGTTTGGGGTGTCATTCCCTGAGATGTATCCCACATCGGGGCTGGGAGGGTTTGGGTTGGTAGTTATAAGTCTCCTGTGGGACCTCAAAGGATACCGGCTTTTGGGGTTCCCTCGGGGTTTAGGTTTGTAAAAATTAACGTAGGCCCTTTGGGCTTCGAAAGAAAAAAAAAAAAATTATGGGTGTTAAACGCTCAACACCAAAAAAATGGTGTGCAAAGATGTGTTTTGACCCTCTTTGTTTTGCTCGATGTAGACAATGATGAAGGACCAGTTTGCGAACTATGTAGTTCAGAAGATTCTGGAAATAAGCAACGATAGACAGCGGGAAATATTACTTAATCGAATCAGGATACACCTGCATGCTCTGAAGAAATATACATATGGGAAACACATTGTTGCTCGATTCGAACAATTATCTGGTGAAGGTGCGTGGAATGCTGCCCCTTTTTTTCTTTGTTTGCAATATGGTGTGACATATATATTGTTGGAACCACACAAAGCACAAAGTATTAAGACATGCAACTGGCTTAGTGGCATGGCACGGTGGGTTGATCATTCCTGTTTGGAGTAGCTAATTCTGTTAACGTTGTTAGATTGAGTACCTGAAGTTGAGTTTCAACTTTGTGATGCAGAGTGTGGGAGCTCTGAAGCTTAATGGATTGGGAGTAAGGATTACGAGAACAGCTATTTATTTCTGACCAGCGGAAGCATTTTGTTGCTGGTGGAGGGGACCCTTGTAATCACCAGCTTGATACTGCTACTAGTGGTTGGTAGCAGTAGCAGTACTAGTAATTTTTTATTTGGGGGATCAAAAAAGTAGTAGTACTTGAAAACAGTACATATCTGTATCCTGCGTCTCTGTCTGTAAGTTGTTAAACTATACAAGTGTATGCTGATGTATAGTGGTAAATTAAATGGGGGTATTTGTTTCAGTAGTAAGCTCTCGAAACATCTACCGATCGATCACCAATGTAACCCCATGTCAAGTAATTTTCCCCAAATTTTAACCCGAATTAATAAAATCTTCGGCCACCAAACCATAATAAATTGGCATTCAACAAAAATTTCATGTCAATCATTTCGCAAAAATTAAATAGCGAACTCACGAGTGTGCCTCGAAAACAGATCGCAAATAGGAATGAGGTAGAAACTTCTATGAATGGTTTTGCTTTCTTTTGCACATTGAATTATACAAGTTGTTTTTTTTTTATTCATTTATTTATTTATGGGTCAATTTTTCAGGGGGCTAAATAAATTGTACAAGTTCTGAAAAAGAACATTGATGAGAGAAAAAAATATATACTTGCGAGATGAAGTAGGATATGTGACAGGTATAAATGATATTGCCGTCCACGAAGAGAACAATTCTGATGGTTACAGAGAATTCCGGTGCAGATAGAGAAAGGGTGTTGAATCAAAAGTAAGGAATGACAAATTGAATATACAGAGGTGCCAATTGCCAATTTTGCTCTAGTTACAAACTAGTAATGATGATTTGTCCGTATAATAAGTCGCGTACCGGTCACCATCCTATTTTCCACAAGAGAAAGGAACGAAATAGAACATTAGCAAGAAGAAGAAGAAGAAAAGTCCCAAAAGGGAGGGGGGGGGGGGTTGACCAGCGTTGCCGGTTGATTGGTTGCAAATTATGAACGAATAAATTGTGCTAATAATACATTTCTAGAAGTGAAAGTAAATGGTATGACGTTGAGCATGGAGGCAGCAGTAGCAGGCAACGGGCAGGGCGGGGACGTGGGGACGAGGAAGGTGGTGGGGAAATTCAGAGGCGGCGGCGGCGGAAAGCCCCTGATAGTGATGATATGCGGGTCCCTGGTGTACTACCACTGCGCCTACCGCAATTCCAGCCTGGTGTCTCTGGTCTCCGACGTCTTCATCGTCCTGCTCTGCTCCCTGGCCATCCTCGGGCTCCTCTTCCGCCAGATGAACATCCAGGTCCCCGTCGATCCCCTGGAGTGGCAGATTTCCCAGGATTCCGCCAACTCTATCTTCGCATGCCTCGCCAACACCATCGGGGCCGCCGAGTCTGTCCTCAGGGTCGCCGCCACCGGCCACGACAAGCGCTTGTTTTTCAAGGTACAACAGGCAGGGGGCCCCAAACCCACCTCCTCTCCTACTAAAATACTACTAGTGGAATTTTATTTTACTAACTCCCCGGCCCTTGGTTGTTGAAATTGTAATAAAGTTGAAGTTGTATTTATTTATCAGCCGCTTTATTTATTTATTTGTTACTTACTGGTATTAGAGATTTTAAACTATTGCTGTACCATTATTTATTGTTAAGTAACACAACTAGTAGTAGTAATAAAGAAGACAGCCAAAATGAGTTAGTAGCTTGTGAAATCTTGTATCTCATTTTATTATTCCGGTTGATTTTTAGACGGCATGGGGACCTAAGTGAAGCCAGCATTAATCACTAATTTCTTTTGCAGGTTGTTGCTAGCCTTTACCTGCTATCGGCACTGGGAAGACTGGTCTCGACTGCCACAGTTGCTTATGCTGGTGCGCTATCTAATCTAATTACTACTACTTCCCATTCATTCTGTAATGCTATAGGATAATGATTGTACCGTACCGTCCCGTCCCTTGTTCTTTTTGTTTGTTCCCCTGATGGACGCCATCCACGAACCCCTCGCGTTCCCTCTCTTACTTTCTTTAACAAAAAAAAAAAAAAAAAAAACCCTTTTGTGAGGCTTCAATTGGTGTTATAGGACTTTGCCTTCTATGCCTTTACATGCTCACTGAGGAATCAAGGTTGATGAGCACGTGTTTCTCGTGGTTTTCTTGGAGAAGGGATTGCCCAGCTTCGGTCCAAGATTGAAGATATTAGCAGTGCTGCCTAGCACCACCTCTTATTTTTGCATTACTACCCGCACTCTGCCGCCGGTCTAAAAGCTTCATCTCGTCTCTTTCCTGCCAAAGACAACGAGCTGCTAAGCACTAAATTGGTGACATATGTTGACCACTGTCCTTGTATTGCCGCACCATATTTGTAAACTGCATTTCCAACTCTTGCTTCCATCGCGTATTGGACAGAGTTTGTTTTTTCACAGGCTAATTTGCGCTTGAGGCTCGTATTCTTTGTCGCGTTACCTTGATTTAGGGTTTAGGATCTCCTTCTTGTTGAAATGTCTCGGCAGAACGTTAACCTGCTAATCAAACTGTCCATATTTTCTCAATTGATGGTAGAAATAGAGACCACAAAAGTTGAATTGCCACATTCCTATTTCCTAGCAAGCATCGGCTCAATAGTCAAGAGGACTTTTAGAGTCTTTCCTGCCATCACATTCAGGTTCAAATCGCCTTTGTGACTGACAGTTCGGGTAGAAAGGGCGGTCGAAGGGTTAAAAAAAAAGCAAGCACACATAACTCAAAAATCTTAATTGCCATTCAAAAGTTCAGCTGTGGAGCGGTGTGCTGCATAACTAGAACTAGCATTCCATTCCAAATCCTGGTGTTACACGGGTTCTTCCTTGAGAGTAATTATGAACTTGCGTCTTTCTCCTAACCCCCGACAAAAATCGCTCAAATTTCTTATGCAAACAAGCTGAGCACATGTCAAAGATCTAAAGTTTCAGAAACACGAAATAATTGACATGATGTAATCATACAGTTAATCAGATGTATTTATCTTCAAAAAAAAAAAAAAAAAAAAAAAAAAGTTCCCTCTAGGCTCTGGCGCACACCCAAAATTGCACCAACAGTTAAGCGATAGTCGGTCCGTTGTGAGCAACAGCCAGTTTTTCGGACAACTTCTACTTCAGTGTAGCTCCTTTCCTGGACAATCAAGCAGTAGTCTGTTGTGTAACTTCTGTTGCCCCATGGTGGACTGTGACATGTGGAACCCTAGAAGCATGCCAACCTCCACAGGGTTAGTCGCTCTCACCTTGAACCAAGTAGTACATCCTTCCAGGCTTCATAAAACATCCAGGTGATGCCAGAGGATGGCATGACTTTTAAACAACTTGCACCCCAACCTCTGTAAAGGCCCCTCAATCCCCCCTCCTTGATGACTTCTGAAAGTGCGGCTGCCATATGTGGTGGGCATTTACCTTGTAAAGCTCCCACCATTAGCCGTTTTCTTGCCACTTCTAGAGGATAACTGATTGTGCTGGCTGTTAAACCTGATCGATCACAAAAAATAAGTCTTGTCAAGGGCAAATGAGACGTTTTCTATACCTTACGTGTAACATGTAGAAATAATCCTGTTCCTCCTCGTGGAATTTAACAACTACAAGATACAATTCAGCAGCAATGCAACCAAACGGGAATTTTCTCTGATGAGAAACCAGACGTCTAATACTCCTTGACAAAGCAAGCAACTGGGAAAAAAGTAATTATAACAAATCAAATTTTGCATCCCTGCATCTGAAGCCTCCAATTTGGTACACAAGCCATCAGGCTGCCAACTAGCCACCTATTACTCCTCATTCCTCAGCTAAAAGTGTTTTAAAGAGGTTTTACCAGGTATCCATGGAGTGCAGTATAATCATTCAGCTACTTTATAAGGCACAATGAATTAAAATTTTCACTTTTGAGTAAAACCTGTAAGGCACAATCATGTTATTGACATCTAGCTTCATTAGAGCAAAGGTGTAGTCGCATGTGTCATTAGTATTTCTTATGGACTGAAATATCTTGTATAGACATCTACATCACCAAATTGAACTCTTGCAATTTAACGCGTCATTAGCATTCATCTCTCTTTCTCCATCTTGTCTTGTTTCACTATCCACCTTCAATTGTTATTTCCACTACACCTACTATAAATGACTCTTTTGTTGCTTAGTTGCTCTACTTTAAGTAGTAAAACCTTTGCCAACTTTTTTATAACAGGACGTATAAGCAACTGGAACCATTACACCAAAAGCTTGTCCATCAGTAGAGTAAATGCCCAAATGTTCAGCAAAATCAAAGGCAAGAATTTTATTTTAAAAAGGAAAGCCTTAATGAAAACTCTGAACCAGCACTGTCTCTGCAGAATTCTCACCTGAGAGAGCTCCAAGCAAAAGCATCTCAGCACGATTCAAGGATTCTTTTTTGTTTGCCAAGCAGTAAGACTTCTTCATGGTATCATACATGAAATAGAAGCACGTGCTATATGGGAGCATGCCAATCAACGTAGGTGATATACCAGCATATAAAGCACCAAGACCACCATCCTTGTACATCTTGCGAACAGCAATGGACAGATTGGGATAAATTTCTGGAGATATGGTCAACCGGTCCTGAATAAGATCAAAAAGGACGAAATTCATGCATTACGATTCTCAGAAACATATTAAGAAAGATGAAATGATCTCGTTAGCAATTTGAGTTGCTATATAAAGGCAACCAACAAAGAATGAACAAGACAATTGATGAGAAATCAGACTAAACAACTTATTCCTGATGCACCACTGTAAATTCTTCAAAGACTGCAAGATGCTGAGATGGTTCCAACATCAAATACCTTTAACACTTCGAGTGGATGACAAGCAAGTGTGCTCACAACTCCAGCAGCAGCACCAGCCACAGCAACTGGCGAGAGCCAGGAGAAAGAAAGGTTCAAACTCAGATTACCAATATACACTTTTGAGCAATCATTTTGAATCCATTTCTCTTGTGCTGAACTCATTGCTCGCTTGACACATTCAAAAGTTCCAAGCTCAATTGCCTGAGTAGGTATTATGCGCAGCATGTTAATTGTGTTTCCAGCCCATAGTCCCTGCCAACCTTGCTGTTCGATGACTTGAATAAAACTGCCACAGATGTTCTTTGAACCAATGCCAACTACCATTCTGGTCCTGCATGTTTTGTATTATAAAAAGAGGAATGCGCTTCAATGCAAGGAGTCTTATCTTCCTTATCTGGTGCACACGAAGCCCAACCAATAGTAAGAAAGTCACTTGCTATAATGGAAATGAACCTTGTTGTTCACATCTCTTTGATAC